TTTATTTATTTACAACATACACAGTGTTGTTACACTATAACAGTAAAACAGATCTCAAGGACAAATACTGAAATTGTCTGCAATTATGTTAATGCACTTTGTCAAGCTAGCTTTTAGAAGGGAAGCCATAGGTGCACACAGTGTGTTCTGTTATTCTGATATTCCTGTTTCCTTCTGAGTTAAGGAAAAAGTATCTGATTTACTTACCAGTTAATAAATCAAGATGTTCACCAATAGTTCTTAGCCGATTAGATCCAAAGTATTTTTTAGCCACTGCACTAGTCGCTAGTTTTGTTATATTTTTAATAACTGCCTCTTCCAAATGGGGAGGGTGATTTTTTTTTTTTAACTGTACAAAATCTTATCCTCCTCAGAATTTCTAAAACACTCAGCAAATTTACTCATGCAGCAACTTCCATCTATTTCACAAAGTATTACTACACTACTGCAGGAACTCAAAATTTTGTTTAATATAGAAACATGTAAAGAATTCAGTAACAGCAACCCGGAAAAAGGAAGACTGCAAGAGATTTACTTTTAGATCTAGATATATTTCCAATTGGTAGAAATGTAAGTAAGACATGATCCAGATATTATTGAAGTTAATAAGACATTCAATTGGAAAAACACGGTACAAGAGAGAACAAATAACTTGCACAAGATCTGACAGCAGACACAGAAATTGAACTCCTAATTGTCACATTAGGGCTCTATTTCCAAGTAATGCACCATTCTCAGAGATGACGTCTCACTTTCTTAGGCTCTGGGATTTTTGGAGGATGGTTAGTTACTTGGAAGGCTGATAGAAGGTTTGGGAGAAATCTTTGCAGTTATAAACCTGTCTATTTGCTCTGCAGGAAAACCTCACACCTGTTTCAAAAAATCATGCAAATAGAGTCATATTGTAAATATTTTAACATAGCAAAAATAATGGCACAAACTACAGAATCTTCCCACAATGATTGAATGTATGTAAACTCAAAAACAACATTGTAAATCCATAGTAATTTTTTTTTTAATCTGTTTTTGAAACTGTTACACATACTCTTGTGGTTACGTATATTTTTGAAATAGTCACAAACTTTTGCAAGCCAATGAAGTATCATGGCTTCACAAGCTTTTCTTTTCTTCCATAAGGATTTATAATCTGACTTCAATAAATACAAATAACTATTTTTAGTACTAATTTTGGTTAATTAGAGTTTTTTATATTTTCGTATCAGAACAATAACATGCATAACAATACTAGAGCATTGGATAATGAAGCCACTGCTCATAACCCTTCGTGGACTGGCTTTGACCAACCTTATGCTATCTAAAGTTCCCATTTTTCAAATAAGCTTACTTATTTCTGCCCAGAATTACATCTTCAAACAGCCAACTCCCCTAAAATAGACTATAAAACACAATATCTGGAAATCTTATCAAAACATTTTTGGAAGTAGTACGACAGGAAGAAGACAAAACAAGCAAAAGGACAAAGTCTGGAGTTTTACAACTGAAAATAGAGTGTGGTATGAGGAAAATTGTATTGTAGCTGGGCTAGATTTCTTTTTCTTAATTTCACAAATGCCACATCCTAGCTAAACCACAAGTACTCCTGTAGTCATGTTCCTACCCCTCATGATGCATGCTTGCACAGTAGAGAAGCTGAAGAAACTATGAGGATTACAACAGAATCACTCACACAGAATCACTCCTCTCCTGATGTGTACTTACCTACTAAACTACATGATATTTGTTTTTCACAGCAATAAAAGGTTGATCTAACCTCTTCCACCTCACTGCAAATTTTCATCTGTCACATTTTTAATCTCAGTATATTTTTGTGTTACCCATTAATCTTTGTCCCATTCTCTCTATCAAAATGGTTAGATACCCCTTAGACACTTATGAAACTCCTAACTACTTTATTCCAACCTGTTTCAGCCATCATTGTTTTATTGTGACTATCTCCAGTTTCAAACTAACACTGTCATCTCATTTCTGTTACTTTACAAATGCAGCTAAATAAAGATATGTAAAGCATTCATGATAAAAGAATCTTCCAAATCTATGTAATTTCTATTTCTATGAAAATACATTACACTTAGGTGTGCAGATGAAGAAACTAGATCTATTTCAGGTCAGAAGTTAGAGACTTTGCTCTGTCAGGTTCAAAACAGAGACAATGAAACTGAAATCAATAATGCTATATCTTAATATCAACCCTGTTTCTGATTTTTTTTCTCTTAGAAAAGTTAAAATTGCATCAGAGTGAAAGAGAAGCTACTTACCCATAAACATGATACCTCTGCATATTCCTATTTTTGGGTACTGTGGAATGATTCACATTTCTGGTGCTGATGACCTTCAGAGACTGCTTGGAAAAGCAGTGCCTGTTGGGACTACATGAGCATCCCCTGGTGACACTGGATGAACACAAATGTGATTCCAAACGGCTTCTCCTTTTTTTCATTTATGCCTAACCTCATATGACATGCAGATCTCCATGGGAGAGAGGGAAGTAGTACCAGTGAGCTCTCTGGCATAGAAACCACCTCCAAATTTTTATTTCTATTATCTTTGTGCTTGCAGCCATAAGGAAACAGAATATAGGTTTTCACAAATATCATATCCTGGTAAGACCTCTGTGTCCAAAAGGAGCTTTACACAGATACATGCTAGCATGAAGATGATATCAAGCATCTAACAAACTAGCAGCAGAACAAATATGCCAGGAGTTGCCGCATATCCCTTCCCAGTGAGGCCAGGTACCAAGGAGAGGCATTGCGGTCACTACCTTACAGTGTTTCCACAGCAGCAGGATAACCTCAGAAAGTGATTGGAGCCAAACTTAAATGGTTAGGGGTAAAAGGCTTATCTTTCCCCCAGTATAATGGTTTTCAGACTGGACAGTAATATATCTGTCCCTCTGCAGGAATGGCAGAACATCTTAAGGACAGAAAAAACAAAGTCCCTCATAGTGCCTCAAAGACAACCTCTCTGCCAAGGATCTGGTAAAATTTCACTAGGCCCAGCAGTGCTGGAGAAGAGGATATTCAGGGAGGAATGTAAAATCCAGGAAGCAAAAATAAAATACACTGATTCAAGTATATCTTTTTTATTCTCTCCTTCTCATCTTTTGGAGTTCTCTGGTTTATGAAACATATAGAGAGAGTTAAAGACTGTTTCAATCCAGAAATCTAGCTACTCAATGGCACAGAAATTAAGTAAAGGTTTGTTGTAAATCTACTCAAGCAATCTGAACAATAACGTTGTTCACTACTGATAAATGTGACATGAAGAAGGCTGGTAAAACTGAACAAATCCAGTGTTCACAGAGCACAGTTCTTTGCAAGCAGAATGATTCAAGAGCTAAAAAGCAATTGAGATAGTTGGAAACTACAGAGATCATCTGTGAAAGGCTCTGTCAGCAGGACTCTGGCTCAGCTGTCCATGTGGCACTGCATTTCTCGGAAGCCCCTACAGCTCACTCAGCAGCACAAAAGGACTTCATTTCACAAGTGGGGACATGTGGAGACCACTTCAGAGAGGAATGATGGGCTGTTTTCCCCACAACCACAAAAATAATTTATTTAAAAAGCACAAAAATTAGTTGAGGTACAATCCTGCCTTTTATAAAAAATTATAATAAAGTGTCATGGCAAAACAGGTAACAGTCACAGAGTAAAATATTTTGCACAAGGGGGAAGAGTCTGGCTGGCAGAACTGCTATTTGGCTGTTCTTAAGTTTCATTATGCAAAGCCACGGGCAAGATTTTTTTTTTAAATTCAACAGTGAAAGCTGCAAACAGCTAGAAATAAGAAAATATGAGAACCTCCATGAGAAACAAAAAGTACAAAAGAAATGATGAAGAAAAAGACTAGTAAACATTGTGTGAGAGGAACAGCATAATGATGAGAACACAGATCAGAGGGTAGGCAGAAGCAAATTAAAAGGAGACCAACTATAACAAAAATGTGAAAATAAAAGGCAGCTAAATGAAATAGCAATCACAGGCTACCTTGCACACAGAGCTGAAAGAGAAAACTTAGCAGGCAAAAAGAAAAAAAGAAAAAAGAAGCCTAAAACAATATAAAAACGAGGTAAGACCAAAGGGTCTGTTGGTTACTGAAGAACTGAGAGCAACGATGAGCAGTGGATGGGGAAAAGGAGAGCAAACATTGGAAGATCAGCAAAGGAAGCAACGGCATGTCTTTTTCTCTATTTCACTTTTACATACTGTGCTGTACATTTCACAGACTTTCCAAATAGCTGCAGCACCTCAGCCACAGGATCCATTAACCAGCACTGTTCAAATACATGTGAGTTTAAACATGTTTTCACATCACAAAGGTGAGGGAAAGGACTACGCTGGCATCTAGGTTTATAAAGCATCAAGATAACATGAGGGAAAGTTATGACAATTAATTTTACTGTTTTGACAGCCGTAACTTTCTTCTCCACACAAACACGTTCCTTCCTTCTGATAACCCAAAACACAGCAACACTTACCAACACCCTTTAGCATACAGATATAGTCCCACAGAGCTATATGTGGGCTCTTCAGAAAAGAGCCTATTGGACCTATTCTGAGTCACATAGTATGGACTAAATGCACATACAGGAGTCTGTCATGGTAAAACAAAAACTGAGTAAACTAGCATTGACTCAACCATAGAATGGACATGTTTTGGTTTTTACTTGAAACCATTGTACTCATAATCCTGCTGGGATGATCACAGCATACACAATATCAAGTACCTCACTTGTCACACATCTTTTCAAACAATAGATAAGGCAGTCACCAGATGGAAAAATTATTATGTGGTTGTTTATACCATATCCTGTTGACTGTTGGTTTTAACTACATTTACACAACTAGCAAAAAATAATAAACAGAAAAATAATGATTCTTCTAAAAGCCATCATTTTATTGCAGTAATGGAAAGGCAGACGCAGGGATTTATTGTATATTTGAAAATACTTCGAGGTAAAATGGTCCCATGTTACTCACCTTGATCTCTTTCATGCCATGTCCGACTCCCCGCAGCTGGTGAATTTGGAGAGGGATAAAAGTCTCCTGTCGGGCTTGGCTCCATATTTTCATCTATGGAGATAGTTTTGGGTCTTTTGCTGTTGAAGTAATGTGAGATTTGGCAGTGAATATGATATGCAGCTAGTAGTGGTATATAAACTGTTCGGATTTCAACAAATATTTCAATAGAAAGTAATTCAGGCATACAAAGCACAAAAAAGTGGATATTAGAGCTTACATTAACTTACATGGACGATGTTATTTAATAATATGTAATGCAGGTATGTGCTTGCATTTTCCACATGATTTAATATTTCAGAGATGGCATGAATGGGTAACATATAAAAGTCTACCAGCATTTGGCTGAACAACCAAGAAACCAGTTCCTGTAACCTACCAAAGAAAGGTTGTGTCATGAGAGTGTTAAACACTATGCAGAAACCATGAAAGCAAAACAAAGCACAGGAAAAGTATTACTAATAAAGTCAAGGTAAACCAGGAACTGTTCTGAATGTGTTAATAAGGAAAAAATGTAATTTACTGTATTTCACCAGGTCAAAATCCTAAGCTTTTCAAAGAGGTCTAACCTGAAACAAAGACTTTTCATTTTGGACTAGTTTAATTAAAAACAACAAAAAGCCCATATTTCAAGTCACACTATATAAAATGAGGCAGCACTTCAATACAGTGGAGGTAAGTCAAGTTTCTTTGTAACGGTATATACCGAAGCTCTTATGCTGACTGCCAAAGAAAACCAGGATGAAGGTTTTAATGGTGGTGGTGGTAGTAGTGGTGGTGGTGGTGGTGGTGGTATTATT